AGATCGTTGTATCATCACTATAGCTCTTAAGTGATGGTTGTCGGTTAGAGAAACTCCCACATAAGTTCTTGTATTTTTATATACATCAGTTCATTGTATTTTTAAATACATTTCAGAGTTATTTGTATCTTGTATACACACAGAGTTGATATCATGTTTTTAAACAACTTTTCTTTATATTGCACTTGCTTTTGAACTGCTTTATATTGAAATGAATTCTGTCATGTTGAGTTGAGTTGAGCTAGGTAAGTTCTTCAGTTTCTCTCAAATTCTTTCATGCCTATGTTATTTTAGCATTCCAACTCGCATACTCGTACATTCAATGTACTGATGTCAGTTGGCCTGCATCGTATTATGATGCAGACACATGTAACTAGGATCGACATTCCGGTGCATCGTTGATCCAGTGAGCAGTCCAGAGTCTGTTGGTAAGCCTCCTTGCTTTCCGGAGCATCCATTTCATTGCTTTCTAGTTTAGTTAATTAGGATGTTGTGGGGTCTGTCCCAACATCCATCTCATTGGTCATTAGAGGCTTCATAGACAGTCATATGTTAGTCCTTTGAGTTTTTTCAATATCATTTCTTATTGTTAAGACTTGGGTTGCCACTTTTGGCCAAGTTGAATGTTTAGCTTTTAACATTCTCAGTTATCCTATGATTTAGTTCAGTTAAGTGTTATTGATCATTAAGTATGAATATTGTCTTCCACTGAGTAAGTAAGCCAGACCAAGGGTTCACTTGTGGCCAGCAATGGTCTTCGAGTGCCAGTCCCGCCCAGGATGTAGGCTCGGAGCGTGACAAAATTACAATCCAAAACTAGATAAAGTATGCTTATTATCTAATTTTACTTTTTATATTGTTTCTTTATAGATGAAAAAATGGATGAAATAATATTTCAAGGAAGCACAATGGTTGAATGCTTGCTATTTTCCAAAATGTGAGGAGTATATGGAAAATGCAATTACAAGCATTGCCATCAAATTGATTGCAACAATTTCCTTGGTATGTTTGGAGGAATTTATTATAACCAAAGAAACTTTGGAATGGGTAACAAGTGATTCTTCGGTTCTTCAAGCTTCATCAGTATTAAGTCTATTAAAGGACGACATTATTGGACATCATGTAAGATAATAAATGAATTTGATAAAAATTAAATATATTATTGTATTGAGCATATTAAAATCTATTTGATGCAGTTTGAACAACAAAGAACACATATACCATCATTCCTTGAATGTTATATGAAAGAACGTGTAGTTTCAAAGCAAGAGACATATATCGAGGTTCAGAAGATAATGAGTAATGCATGGAAAGATATAAACACGGAATTGCTCTATCCTACTCAAGTACCAATGTTTGCTGTAGAACAAGCTATAAATCCAACACACTTGACACTTTCTTTCGAAAAGAATGATTTTATAAGTACTAATTGTGGATTTATGGACAGACTCATCTCATTGCTTGTTGATCCTATCAAACTATGAGGTATATATGGAGCAAAATATGGTTTAAAAAAATGGTGTGCAAATTTCTAGTAATGTTTGAGAATTAATCATTTTATCAAGGAATGAGAGTTTGTAGCTAGATTGTCTTCACAGTGATGCTTCTTATAATAAAATCCAACAATGAAGCCTATTTCATTTTATAATTCGATTATCATTTTCGAATTTTTTTTGTGAATTCAGACATATATTGATTTTTCCAATTTTTTTTTTTAAAATCACATATTTTGACCCAAATACCAAGTATTATAAGTCATACTACTATAATTAGTTTTTCAAAAAAGAGCTACAATAATCAATAATTCAAAACATTTGAGAAAATCGTAGAATAATAAATGCCCTCAATTTTGCCTAATCTAAATTTACATAGTTTTTGGACATTATAAGTATGTTTCATAATAAATGTGTGATGAGTTCCACGGAAATCGAAGAGAAAAATATAAGCAAATTTACACTATTGATGTATATTGATACTTGATATTGATAATAATAGTGAACGGTTAATTGAAACAAATTATAATAATATGAAATAAGAATTCCGCCCATAAGTAAAACACCAAAGGAAAGTATTATCATACCATAGCATAATTAACAAACATTACATGATGGCTTTTATTTCATGATAATAATTCTTACAATAAGCTCCAAATTTAAAGCAGCAAGAATATTACTACTACATCTTGCCACTAATTAGTACAAGGTGATATAAGTATATATTACTATTTATTCACCTTTGTATCTAGGAGCAACACTTCCGGCCGCCACCACCACGGTTGCCTGAGTATTTACTACCACCGACAGGGTATCCACCACCACCACCATGGCCAGGGTATCCACCACCACCACGGCCACCACCACCGCCACCATGGCCACCGCCAGGGTATCCGCCACCAACACCACCACGGCCGCCGCCAGGGTATCCATCGCCATCACCAGGGTACCCGCCATATTCGGCTTCATGTACTTCATTTTTGTTACTGGATTTCTTGGCTGCATCAATTAAGTAATCAAGAATGTTATTCTTAACTTGTTTTTTTTTTTCAAAAAATATTATTTCCGATTTATTTGTCTTACTTTTTTTAGGCCTAAAAAAAAATGACACTTTCCTTCTTCGGCAACTACTTATTGGTATGTTTAATACCGGAAGATTCAAAAATTCTAAACCATAAGATTCAAAAATTCTCTTTGGTTTTTTTTAAAATCTGCATACGTCAAAACCAAATAAATAAATTAAAACGGAGGAAATATTTTTGTTTAATACCAAATAAATACTACTTATTGGTATGTTTGAAATACTTGTATTACTAACATCCGTTGAGTTTTTTTTTAATAGTGATTGCCATTTGGGCATCGGAAAGATGAAGCATATCAGTGTTATAGTTCGTCTGCCGAAATTTGTGTCATGTGATATAATTAAAATTTTGAAATTCAATATTACTCCTATATATAAGTGGGAGTTGATGAGACTAACACAACATCAAATAGATGAACCAAAGGTAATATAAGTTGTACCAGCCCACTTCATTAAACAAGTACTACTCCCCACTCATTTCACAAAGACACATGTACTATGTAGGGAGTTGGGAAGGAACAACAAGGACAAATCTGTAATTTTCTTAAGCTTACCCCACTCATATCACAAAGACACATGTACTATAGTTAGTGGGACTAACATAGCATCAAATAGATGTACCAAAGGTAATACAAGTTGTACTGTATTGGGGGCCATTTCATTAAACAAGTACTACTCCCCACTCATTTCACAAAGACATGTGTACTATGTAGGGAGTTGGGAAGGACCAACAAGGACAAATCTGTAATTTTCTTAAGCTTACCTCACTCATATCACAAAGACACATGTATTATGTGTAACACATAGATGCTTTTTATATTATCTATGGAATGATCCATTTTTCCCTTACAGTATCATAATTCCAAAAGCGTTAAATTTCTCTTAATTTTCGAGTAAATATCTCAAAAGGTCATTCAACTTTGAGAAATTATATTGTAAAATTATTCAACTTTGTTTTATATCAATAAAATCACTCAACTTTGAATATTTCTTTTATAAAATAACTCGATCAAACTTACCATAAAAATTATTCTACAAGATAAAATCATTATTTTTTAAAATATATTTACGAGAAACTTCTTAAAATATTTAAAAGTCATGAACAAGTTAAAAACAATTGGCATGAATTTTGAACTTTTTAGTAAATTTGTGAAGCGAATCGAACCCATTCGAGGGAACGTATGAAAACTGAACGTGATGAGGTATCCACTTTCTCCTCTTCCCATATTATATTGTTCGTATTATATTTAAAAATAATTTCACCAATAATTTAAAAAAAAATTCATATCTTACACTTAATTCATTGATCCATGATTGTAATTTTTTGAAATGGAGAGTAATTTTTTTGTAATTATTGCAGAAAAGAAGAATAACATATAAAAGATTGAGATATGTGGGAGAGCAATTAATTTATTTTATCATGTTAAAATGTTTTTTATGGTAAATTTGATCAACTAATTTTATAAAAGAGTTCAATGATTTCATTGATACAAAATAAAGTTGAATGACTTTACAACATAATTCGACTGAGCTTTGAGATATTTACTCCTTAATTTTCACAAGTGCTTTCTTCTTCCCTCGCTGAATATCGCTCTGTTTTCAGGAGAATTTTTCTATCTACTTACGTTGTTCTTAACCTACTTCTCTTTTGAGGCATATAATATGTGTTTGTAAAAGTTTTGGCAAATGAATTTTTTATGCTTATAGTTGTTATTGAGTGTTGGAAATTGGGGTGAATGTGTATAATATGTGTGCTAGAGTTTTGACATGTTTGTTAGCAAATATTCTTGATTTCTACATGTATTATGTCTTTTTCATGTATTTTGTGTTCGTTATCAACTAATTTGAGGCATTTAATGCACCTTATGCATTTAAATTAATAAATACTATGTTTGTAAAACTAAATCTCGGAAAAGAAGGTGTGAAGACAACAAAAACAAATACTATTAAATTTGAATGGTTGAAAGAATTAGGTGGAAGAAAGCCAATTAAAAGGGAAAATACATAAAAACCCACCTGAACTTGGTCCGAAAATTTACTTTAGTACTTAAACTACACGGATGTTTATATACCCCCTTAACATCTTTTAAGTGATTTTTTTCAAACTTCCCAGCACCAGCCTAGTTGAAGGCTGAGTGTTGTTGAGTCACACGCGTTTTTCATTCGTCCACGTGTACATTAGCAAAATTCCTAATTAATTGCTTAAATCTCCATAATAATTGTTTTTTAAAAATATTGAGCCAAAAATTAAACCCATCAATGAATTTACTCCTCAATATACAAACTATAATTCAAATTTCAATTGTATTTTCAGTTTAGTTATACGATACCACCTTCCTCAAAAATTTAAAAAAATATTTGCATAAAAATGAAAAATTATTAATGAATTGGGGGAAATCTCCATAGTTAATATTTTGCCAACAATATCTTCGATTTTTTTTTAATGGAAGTCAACTTCATTCTGAAGACGATTTAAACTGATAGATCTAATAATCTTCTTTGATGTAAAAAATGGTGGGTGAATCAAACACCAAAAATTTTGTAAAAAAGAAGAAGAAAGAAACGATTAAAAATAGAAAAGAAAAGAAGAAGAAAAAATGTGGAAGAAGTTATATTTGGAAGTAAATGTTTATTTGAACTAAATGAAAAGAATAAAAAAGAGAAAGAGTTATGAGAAGAGAAAAAAAGAAGAAGAAGAAGATGCTAGAAAAAGAACAAAAATGGAAAAAAAAAATGAAGAAGAAGATGCAGAAAAAGAAATATAGAGAGAGAAAAGTTAATTAAAAATAAAATATTTAAAAATTAGTAAAATAAATTATTAAGTATGTTATCCAATAAAAAGATGATATGTGTCAGTTTTTGATGTCTTTTCCTTTCTCACCCGCTTATGAAAAGTTGGTGATACAAATTTTGCCACGTCACTCTTTAAGGGGTAATTAAATTCAATTCAAATTAAATTGGGGGGGGGGGTAAAGAAACATTCGTGTAGTTTAAGTACTAAAGTAAGTTTTCGTGCCAAGTTCAGGGGGAATTCTATGTATTTTCCCCAATTAAAATGATAAGAAAGAAAGAAGGAAAGAGGATGTGAATACATCATACCTATGGTGGCTTAAGTTTCAATGGGAAACTTTCAGATTAGGTCATCCATTTTGCAAAGCATTTTTTCTTAAAGCTAGGACAGAAAATAGATCAATGAGAAGAAATAGGGATATATCACGAAAAACACGTGTTTCATAGATGAAGCTTAATCATTTTATTATCGTACCTAAATCTCTATAAACATTTCTAGAATTGGTAGACACATTAATCTTACGTTTTAAATGAGATATTATGCCGTAAAAATCGTACAAGTAGATCATACAATAACGCCTTCAGTTACAAAGCTTAGATAAGATTGAAAGGGAAGGCGAAAACAGATCAAGTAAATCATATTTTCATTCATAACATTTGAGCTCTGTATTCATACTTTTTGAGATAAATATTAACATTTAGACATAATAAATAATATTAATTAAACTATATTAAGAAAGGCTAATAAAGATATTGTCCTTTCTGTTGTAGCATTTTGAAGCTCATTGATAAAGTTATTATTATTTTTTTTAAAAAATATTGCTTTAAACTACAAAGCTTTGCCTAACATGATTTTGAAATGCCAAGTCGATTGCAAAAACATAAGATTTCTCAGGTCTTTTTTAGTCTCAAAAACTTGTGGCCTAAACTAAATTGCTAAGAGAGGATTACTCCAATTTGTAACAATACACTAATTTAAGAAAGTCAGAGGTCTTATATCATTTAGTGATTTTAGCATGCAACAAGGAAAGGCATGATCCAAACAAGCTTATTATGACTTTCTACGTCATAATATTATGAAATTTATTCAATTTGAATATTGATTTCAACTGGACTAGAACAATATTGAGCATAATATATTACATATTTGAATCAAAATCTAGGTGCCCAAAAAATGAAGTTCAATTTTAATTTGTGGTTATCAAATTACGAGTAGTTTCCTTCTTTTATATACTCGAGTGAATGGAGTGACTTTCTTCCTTTATATATTCAAGAATTTCACTGGGTGTATCCACTACAACAAAAATAACTTTTAGCGGCAATAAATATTGACAGTAATAAAGAGTGTTAAAGTCTTTACCGGTATTAGTTAAGTGCTATTAGAACCAATGTCGTTAAAGACTTTAGGGACATATACAAAGAGTGCTAATTGCCGCTAAAAATACATATTTAACGGCAATTAAAAATTAATTTTTGCTAATGATTATTTTTGATGTAGTGATCTCAAATATGGTCATTTGATTACTGTCCATTTATAAGATGCGTTTGATTAGAATACGGAAAAATTTATGAACAAAATTTGGAAAGGTAAGTAACACAATTATGTTCTACAAAAAAAATTATGTTCACTTTATAGCCTATGCTTCTCATTGGATCTTGTAAAATTAGTTACTTAATATTGTTCTATGATTGAATTGATTTATAAATTTCTATGAGCTCACTCCTATCTGCAAAAATCAAAGAAACTCTTCCAACATAACTTTCAATAGGTTAGCTCATTGTTGACACTTTCTATTACAAAACACATTTCTTTCCTTTGATAGTACCTTTAATCACAAGGTTTACAACACTTTTGTAAATGTCAGAAGTCCTTCTACTCCACCTTTGTTGACATGTAGCTCAAGGTCTAAAATTGGATAAACAGCTCCCGTTCTAATAAGACATTAAGCAATGTGGACACCAAGGAAATCAAAGAGCAATACAAAAGTTTGAACACATGTAAAATCAAAGTTGCATCACTCCTTACAATTACTAGATGAAAAAAATACTTAGGCTACAAATGATATGTATATGCTATATGTATTTAATTTTACGGTGGTTTGATTTTATTATAATGGAGTCCGAATAACTCCGGATTTGATAAAATTATGAATAGAAATCATAGATTTCTCGGTAGTGCAATAACTAAAGCAATATACTGAAAGGGTCGTCATATTATAGAGTTAATATCTCAAAAGGTCACCCAACTTTGAGAATTTATCTAACAAAGTCATTGAACTTTGTTTTGTATCAATAAAATCACTAAACTTAGACATTTCTATCAATAAAATCACTCAATTAAAATTATTATTAAATAAAATATTGGCATAGCAAAATAAATTACTTTTATTGCTTGTTGATCCTATCAAAATATGAGGTATATATGGAGCAAAATATGGTTTAAAAAAATGGTGTGCAAATTTCTAGTAATGTTTGAGAATTAATCATTTTATCAAGGAATGAGAGTTTGTAGCTAGATTGTCTTCACAGTGATGCTTCTTATAATAAAATCCAACAATGAAGCCTATTTCATTTTATAATTCGATTATCATTTTCGAATTTTTTTTGTGAATTCAGACATATATTGATTTTTCCAATTTTTTTTTTTAAAATCACATATTTTGACCCAAATACCAAGTATTATAAGTCATACTACTATAATTAGTTTTTCAAAAAAGAGCTACAATAATCAATAATTCAAAACATTTGAGAAAATCGTAGAATAATAAATGCCCTCAATTTTGCCTAATCTAAATTTACATAGTTTTTGGACATTATAAGTATGTTTCATAATAAATGTGTGATGAGTTCCACGGAAATCGAAGAGAAAAATATAAGCAAATTTACACTATTGATGTATATTGATACTTGATATTGATAATAATAGTGAACGGTTAATTGAAACAAATTATAATAATATGAAATAAGAATTCCGCCCATAAGTAAAACACCAAAGGAAAGTATTATCATACCATAGCATAATTAACAAACATTACATGATGGCTTTTATTTCATGATAATAATTCTTACAATAAGCTCCAAATTTAAAGCAGCAAGAATATTACTACTACATCTTGCCACTAATTAGTACAAGGTGATATAAGTATATATTACTATTTATTCACCTTTGTATCTAGGAGCAACACTTCCGGCCGCCACCACCACGGTTGCCTGAGTATTTACTACCACCGACAGGGTATCCACCACCACCACCATGGCCAGGGTATCCACCACCACCACGGCCACCACCACCGCCACCATGGCCACCGCCAGGGTATCCGCCACCAACACCACCACGGCCGCCGCCAGGGTATCCATCGCCATCACCAGGGTACCCGCCATATTCGGCTTCATGTACTTCATTTTTGTTACTGGATTTCTTGGCTGCATCAATTAAGTAATCAAGAATGTTATTCTTAACTTGTTTTTTTTTTTCAAAAAATATTATTTCCGATTTATTTGTCTTACTTTTTTTAGGCCTAAAAAAAAATGACACTTTCCTTCTTCGGCAACTACTTATTGGTATGTTTAATACCGGAAGATTCAAAAATTCTAAATCATAAGATTCAAAAATTCTCTTTAGTTTTTTTTAAAATCTGCATACGTCAAAACCAAATAAATAAATTAAAACGGAGGAAATATTTTTGTTTAATACCAACTCTGCATTATAAAATTCTGTAATCCATAACTTATATGGAGATTTCTCGTCAAAGTTCAGAAGGTTAAAGTATACTATATAAAATGTATGCAAAATTTCATTAGGTTCAGCATGGGCTACTTTATGTTTTAATTGAGTTGAGAATTGATCGAATTAATTAACTTCTCTATCTTCACATGATAAGAGTATAGTTGTGTACATACCACCTCCTCCATATCCTTTGTGAAATTATACTGAATATGCTATTATTATTATCGTAATATACATGCAAAATGTAAAACTAATTATATAAAATTGAACAATTAGTAAGAATGATTGGTCAAGCTAGCATCTAAAGCACAAGTAAGGAATGTTCATCTGAACTCAATATTTTCGAGATAAATTATAAAAATATATGTGAAATTTCCTTATAAAATGAGCATATTATACTGAATGGATATACTTACAATCCTCTTCAGAAGTAGTGGTGGAAGTCTCAGCCAACTCCCTAGCAAAAACCTCAGAACTTATCATTACAAATATGGCCAGAAAAAGGCCAAGAATCAGAAATGCCTTGGAACCCATTTTTTGTTTCCCTTATGATATTTGAATTAATTAAAGGATGAAGAAATTGAGAGATTGTTGGGTTCTATTTATAGAAAGATTTGAATGGATATAATGATTGAAGAGAGAGTATTATTTGGATGTAGCGGACAGAAGCAAATTCAGAATTTAAAGTTTATGGATTTTTAAAGATCTTAGTAACTTTATTCAATCTAAAAGGTTGGCTCAGTGGGTTGGTTTGGCCGCCTTTAAGTGAAGGGGCGCATCCACCAAAGATGGCAGCGGGAAAGACGGGAGCACGAACGAGGTAGCTTATGCTTTTTTCATCCTCACTACCTGATTTATAGTAGAATCTGGAGAATATGAACTTCTCGCATTCTTCTTTTTGGTACGTTGTTATGAGCAGCTCTGGTGCTCGATCTTAGGTCTGAGGTATGGGTCGAATCATGATAAAGAAGGTTAAGTAGGTTTCATTTCTACCATCAAACTAAGAATTTATTTTTTTATTAGATTTTGAAGAAATATTTTTTATATATTTAATAGATTTTTTAATATAAATATAAGATTTATGTAAAAATTATTACGTTTCTAAAAATTTACGTCCGATACTCTAGATCCCCCCCTAGAGCGGGAACATGTATTTATGGAATTAATGTGTGGACCAATATTCAGTCGGCAGCTGAAGAAATTTAGTGAAGATTTCATTCATACACATTACAAGTACTATATATAATTTGTTGCATTATATTTAAGTTAAACTTACATGTAACAAATTAAACTGATACATATTTATCTCCATAAAAGTCTAATTTGATATCTTTAAATTTGGATCGACAGATAAAGACATCTATCGGACAGATTATCGTGATTTTAGTATAAAAATTGTATTTTAATTTTAGAATATATTATCCAAAAGTTTCTGATAGATGAACAGGGAATTAAATTTGACATTGAACCTACTAATATCAATCTCAATAATTTTCAATGATTAAATCCAATCAAACCAAGGGCAGCTCAACGTGATTGGGGGCCTAAAGCGAAATTTCGATTCTGGGCCTAAAATATAAACAAACTTCATGTACGTATTTATTCAAAATTTATTTTTCTTACATTATTTAGATGAAAATTATTAGTATTTTGATATTGTTTTTTCAGTAATTAGTTTTAGGTAAGATTTTATCAACTCAACATTGAAAAACATCCTTTCAGTGAGGCAATTATTATATGAATTGTTAACATACTTATATAAGTAATAAGTTGACAAATATTAAATAAAGATAAGAGTTAGAACCATAGAATTTGATGCAAGAAGTTGATGATCACTTGGTATACCCATTTTAATATTGTTGTAGTAATGCCTGAAACTAAAATTAAAAAAGAAATTAAAAAAAAATTGCAATTCACTTTGTTCAACACTTTTCACTATTAATTCTTATTTTTAACAAAGTATAAAAAATGTTAAAGTGGGTAAAATAATATATTTAAAAAAAATTAAACTTTTTATCATAAATAATCAATTAGTTCTATAGAAATTTTAACACATAATTTATTCTTGATAAAATTTGCGACCCCCAAAGGCAAAAGCCTTATTTGCCAAAGCATAGAGCCGGCCCTGAATCAAACCTTCAAAAATACAAAACATTATTACTCAACTGTACGTATTTATGTGGGTGCATTATCCATTTTGGACACATTATAAGATCACCAAAATCTTTTTGTTAGCAAAGTAGTCGACGGCCCTTGTGGGGAAATGGTATATTATATCATACAAAAATGAATATAATATATTGCATTGCAATAGACATAGTCATGTGACTCTTCTGTGTTCATTGTCAAAATTTTCTAAAAATATTTTATAAAAAAAAGTAAGTGACTTATATTCTCTAAAAATGGTATACATGATGGAAAAGTAGAAAAAATAAATTTTATATTAGTGTTATTCTAAGTTGATTGTCTCTCTTTAGTTCACCCTCGTCTCTACGTCCCTATCCTACCTGCACCACACCTCCTCTCGAAACCCAAGCTCCGACCGGCTCTCAACACCCCCCCCTCCATCCCCCATCCCCCTCGCCTTCATCCACCCCTCTTCCAACCTCAGAGTGTTTGTAATGAGATAGTTAAAAAAGAAGGAGAGTGTTTAGAGGTAGTTAGGACTACTTCAAGAAGTTAGTTAGAAGGTAGTTATCAAAAAGTTAGGTAAGTTAGTTAGCAAGGAAAATATAAATACATAGGATTTAGTCATTGTATATCTACTGCTTTAAAAGGAAAAATAACAAATACTTTCTTCTTTTCCAATTCTATTGTTCTTATAATTCATAGTGAATATCTTCATGGTATCAAAGAGGGTGATAAAACTTTAAAGAAGTCATCTGTGTATTACATCTGAAGATCAGAATCTGGAGAAGTCATCTGTGTATTACGTCTGAAGATCAGAATCTGGAAAATTTTGTTCGTCTCTGTGTATTACGTCTGAAGATCATAGTCTAAAGAATTCTGATCGTCTTGATAATTCAGTTTAGCTTCCGGAAATCAATTTGAAAAAGAAGAAAGATTACAAGCATGACTCAAGGGGTAACTGGTGAACAGACAACTGGAACCAGTAGTGTTGGTGGAATTTCTGGAAATCCAAGCTCTATTCCAGCTATGTCGATGAGTCAAGGGGTTGATTATAGTCATCCTCTGTTCTTGAGTCCTGCTGATATCAGTGGGGTTAATCTGATTTCATTCCAGCTTATTGGAATTGAGAACTATGCTTTATGGAGTAGGTCGATTAGATTGGCATTACTTGGAAGAAACAAGAATGGTTTGGTAGATGGATCGTGTAAACAAGAAGATGTAAGTGCAGAATTAAGAGTTCAGTGGGAAAGGGTGAATGTCATTGTTCTCTCATGGCTTCTAAATTCTATGTCAAAGAGTTTGCTAGGAGGAGTAGCTTTTGCATCATCAGCTCAAGCTGTGTGGAATGACTTAAAAGAAAGGTTTGATCAATTAGATGGATCAAGAACCTTCAGTCTACACAAAGAAATTGCAACCTTGCAACAGGGTACAGATTCTGTGTCTGTATACTTTACAAACACTACTACAAAAGGGTCATTTAGTGGCAATAAAACATGACTTTAGCGGCAATAACATTTGCCACGATAACCTATACCGGTGAATTGTCTTTAGCCGGTAATGTAGGGGTCAGCAAAGGCTTTCCCGACCATTGTGGGAAATGCTGGTAAAGGGTAGCATGAATTGCCGCTACAAATCATTAGCTTTTATGGCAATTGTTTGTAGCAATTATGTTGGCTGCTAAAGGTAATTCATAATGACTAACTATGAGTTTTTAGCGTCCATTGTTTTAGCCGATAAATCTAAATAAATAGCCACTAAAAGGTAGTGTTTTTATTGGTAATTGTTTGTGGCACATATGTTGGTTGCTAAAGGTAATTCATATCAACTAACTATGATCTAATTTTAGTGTCCATTGTTTTAGTCGATAAATCAAAATACATAGCCACTAAAAGTATTTGTTTTAACGGCAATTGTTTGTGGCAATTATGTTAACTGCTATAGGTAGTTAATATCGACTAACTATTGTTTTTAGCATCTATTGTTTTAGTAGATAAATCCAATTAAATAGCCACAAGGTAGTAATTTTAACGACAATTTACTATGGCAAGTAATGGCTACAATATCCCTTCTAAAAAAAATTAGTTTGCCTTTTCAGTGTCCATTTTTATGATCAATAAATTTATTAGATTGACGCTAAATATTATAACCTTTAACGACAATTTTATAGCCAACATTAATAATAATTACTACATTGGTCGAGAAAATGTATATATACAAATTCAACAAACTTGTTGGCAAAAGAGCACCAGATAGTAACAACAAAGTTTGACAAATGCAAAAAACATATACTATTATTAATTCATAAAATAGAATATATATCATAAAATCTAGACAAATAAAAGGAAGTACTAATCCAAAATATGAATGTCACAACGTATAAAATTAAACTTATATTGTTTGTATATATCTATCCTATTGAATAATGTTTTCACATAAGTTTTGCACCTCTTCTTCATATTGAAATCTCCCAAATTTGAAATTTGAGGACTTTAGATTATATGACCTGGAATAAAAAAACAAATGCATCAAAAGATGAGATGTAAAGTATCAAAACATTGCAAGAAGTGTGACTTGTCTGAAAAAATAACAATCAAGAAGTATCTAAATAAAAAAGAAGTTAATTTCTCTTGATTTCTAGTAAAAACTACTTAAGTATCATAATTCTCAAGCATACATACAACTTCAAGTATTGTTAAATTAGGTCTTAGGCCTAACTCACACCCCAAAAGCTAGCTCAAAGGGAGGAGGATTGCCCAAGCCTTATAAGGAGTCCACCCATCTCATTAATCACCGATATGGGACTTTTGTCATTCTTTAACAAGTATAATCATAGCAATAGCAATTTACCCTAGCATCCACACAAATATAAGACTAACCAAAGTGGGAAAAGCAAAAGTATAGAATTAAGTTTACTGCAGTTGTGTTATTAGAGATTTAGTTCAAGTTGATGTAGCTTCGTCTACCATCAGAAATGTCTATGTATCTAGATGAGGATTTGCTAAAAAAATAGGAAGTTATGTTTATTATAGATCCGCAAAACATTGTTTCATTACATAGGAAATATAGGTAACTCCACATGACATATATAGGGTGAAAGACAAACAACTTAACGGCAGGAACTAGCACTATATATTGAACCACAACAATTTAGAATTTTAGATTGAGTGGTGCGACGCTACCAAGTAAATTCATGAAAGATGAGGCACAAGATTTTCATGTTAGAACCTGGGATAAGCACTAAAAGGTTCAACCAATTCACAAAACTCCTGAATCAGTATCTTCGTGCTTTCATTGGCTACAACAATAAAATGATCTTATTATCCACTAGTAATCGAATATAAAAGATTCATGAATTAGTGGAGAAAAGGATTGGATTGCCAATTAATAAGAGACCTCAACTAAGCAGTCAATCAACAAAAATATGTTACCATCTTAATAAAAAAAAAATTACAACTCACAAAGGGTCCCTTTT